TGGATTCAAGGTGGTCGCAAAACGGAGTCGAATTAGTAAAATGTTCAAAAGGTCGGCCACGCTTAACTAAGTAAAACAGTAATGATAAAGTTTACAAAGCTAAGCTACACTGCAGACCCATTGATATTGAAGTCGCCGAAACCATGGCCCATGTTTCATTGCAAAATTTGCTGAATCACCCTGCAAAAAGGATCAAAAAGGAACATTGCAATAAGAAGTATTTATTCAATTTCAAGAAATAAATGAAGTAAATTTGATTGCAAGCTATAGATTTGACGAATCGGGGCACAGCATACTGTCCTCGAGCTGTCCGGTGTATGCGGCAGTGCTAGCGTTGGTGAACTCTAGACATTAACATGTTTAGTTTCACCCAAACTAATTGTGGTCGTGGCCGAGCTGCACAATAATTTTTAATTACTGTGTGTATTTGGGGATAAGTATGCCGTTAAAGAAAAAACACCAACGTTTTAGGGTTGACTCCAGTAGCTCAGAGTCCGTGGCTGCTTAAATAAAAGCAGTCGATGAGGAAAGTACTAACGAAAGCGAAGTAAAAATCGTGGGTAACAAAAAGGCCAAGAAGGCAATGAAAAAAGGAGGTGTGTCAAGCCGTTGCAGCCATAGTTCGTAGAGCTCGCCATAGCTCGCTCGAAGGATATTGAGGCGTTTCTGAATGATATCCAGAAGAGGGCCGGGCTGCCTTGTTGTTGTCTCCTAGCTACCTCTGGACGAGAGAGCTGCTGTCGCCACCCCCGCTGCCTCCCGCAAAGCTGACCCCGCAGCTGCCACCGGAGCTGCCCCCGCTGCTGCCCCCGCTGCTGATACCACCGCTGCTGCCCCCGCTGCTGCCCCCGCTGCTGATACCACCGCTAACACCAGGAACGCTGGTGCTGCACCAGCTGCTGCCCCAGCTGCTGCCCCTCCACATGCCCCCGTCCAGCCTCCTCCCATAGCGTCGACTAACGTTACTGTGGAGCTGGCCAGGGTAAAGGAGGCGTTCCTAAAGGAATTCGTGGCGTCTAAGTTGTCAACTGAGCAGGCCTGCGCCATGATGAGGTGCCTGAGCGGCTTAGAGGGGTTAGTGCTAGCGCTGTCGTCGCGAAACGCTGCGTTGCAGGCTATTTGCGACCAGCAGCCTCCCGTCGTCCCTGAGGTCCGTCATGTTGCCGGCTGTGGTCCCCAAGCCACCTGCTGGGTATGCGTCTGCATACCCCAGCCTGCCGGTACCTTCAGTTGCTTCTGTGCCCGCGCCGAGGAAACCACGCGAGACGTGGTCAACCGCGGTGATGAGCAAAGACCCGAATATTTCGGGCAAAGAGGTGGCCGAAAAGGTACGTAATAAGATCGAGGGCTGAGAGGGCTTGCGCGTGGCGGTGCCATAATCCGCGCCGCCCTCATCAGGCGAGATTCGCAAGGTCGTTGCGAACAAGAAGTTCAGTGAAGTTGGCCTCGAGGTCAAGCAGAACTCTGCGCAGCAGCCGAAGCTCGTAATCCAAGACGTGGCGACAGATTGCCCCGGAGGAATTAATGGAGGAACTTTTTGCCAACAACCTTAAGGAGCACATTCCGGAGGCGGAGTTTCGCAGGGCGGTGCACCTTGAGAATAAGCCTAGGACGGTCGCAGACGGAGCCACCATTAATGTGACTCTCGAATGCGTGCCGAAAGTGCTTGAGCTGCTGGAAGGTGGAAGAATTTACATTAAGTGGTTCTCTTACCGATGCAGAGCACTTGTCCGGACTTACGCCTGCCATAGGTGTGTTGGTTTTAATCATAAAATTGCAGATTGCAAGCAAAAGGAAAATGTCTGCAGACAGTGCGGACAGTCCGGACACAGTGACCGAAGCTGCACCAACCCTGTCGACTTCCGGAATTGCCGTTTCTACGGATACCCTTCGGGGCACAGCATGCTGTCTCCGAGCTGCCCGGTATGTAATGTTTATATTCATCCAAGCAAACTGTGGTCGGGGTCAGGCTGCGACTATCGAGCTTGCAGTCCGCCTGAGGGAGTCTGGATGTCTGTTTGCACTAATGCAGGAGCCATACGTTGGTAGCGGGACGAGTGATGTGCTGCCGGAAGGAATGAGAATATGCCAGTTCGACACCGATCTAGAGCGGTACCTTAGTGCTCCTGGGCAGCAGAATCCCCGCAAGCCTGGAACTCGACGCGAATGCAGCGTTCCCCCTGTGGTTTAGTAAACTCCCTCGGAATCCCGAGGGACATGCAAACCACAGCCGGGGTTAGCTGCTATCTGAGTGGATGCTGGAGAGTGGAGCCGTTGCCCTAAACCTAGCCTGGTATTCATTCACGTTCGATACCTACCATGCGCGTAGTGACATCGACGTAAAAATTGCCAACGAAGTGTGCGAGTTGAGTGATCATAACATGATTACCGTAGTGGCAACACCAACGACCACGCGCGTAGTTGAGAGTTTAGCTCCTGTGCCGTCCTGGAACATCTCCAATGCTCACTGGCAGTTGTTCGAACAGGAGATGGTGAGTCGGTTAGCCGATATTCCGGGAGACATCTTGCTGTCGCCGTTGGACCAGCAATTTTCGACAGCTTCAGGTTTCACTCGGTTTGTACGCTGACTTTAAATATTGAAGTAAGCCAACAATTCTTTAATTTAAACGATCATATATAATAAAAACAGATAGTAACGCATGATCAATTTTAGAAAAATTAATATCGTATAAAACTAATCCAGTCATAATGACACTAGAAGATGAGTTTTATCTTAAGGATTCATTAAATTGTCATATTTCTAAGAAAAATGTTCTTAGATGATAGAGTTAAATATCATTGTCATTTAACAAGTTTCTTTAGGGGTGCAGCTCATTCTGAATGTAACTTGGAGTATAGACTACATAAATCCATACCGGTGTTATTCCATAACTTTTACAATTGTTTGACATTTTTTTATAGAATACTTATCTAAAATTTCTAGCAGTATTATGCATACCAATAAATAAATACTACAATTCTGGTTCAAAAAATATAAAAGGTGAAAACAATTTTAAAAGTCGATTGTTCTTGATACATTTAGATTTACGCCATGAATGTTACAAAATGGATGAAGCATTAAGAATTATAAAAATGTTTTTCTTATTGGTACCCCACTATATGGTGTTACGACAATGTACAGATCAAGGGCACACAAATAGCAACAAGTAGGATACACTAGAATATTATTTGCCGTAATGACAGTGAGGATAACGCAAAAATAATGAAACGAAATTTATATTATCAAATCATAATGACCATACTACGACATCAATAAAACAACCCTTTTTTATGGTATAAATTTTTTAGAGCTTGAAAATAGATGTTCAAGAGATATTAGAAATGGAAAGCATAAACAAGTCAACTCATTAAATGAATTTAGAGATAAGCCACAAACATTAGAAAAGTATTTATTATAAGTATAATATTTGTATGAATATATGATTTAAAAAAATTAATTTGTATATTATAATGTATAATAATAAATAATAAACTTAAAAAAAAACTGCTAATTCCCAGGTAAAATGAATTGTTTATTGTATTGCTTATACATGGTTGTTTTGTTGGGAAGCAGTTGGTATTACCTCTGCGACTGAGCATTGCGAAGTTAAAAGTAAGACTGTACGTTTCGATGGAAGTGGTCCCGATTTTTATACTAAATTAGAGACACGCATACATGCAAATTCAACGTATTTGTTTGTAAGCTTATATGTGTAAGTACAAATACATCATCACTCACTCCAGACTCACTCCAGACAGTTATATGTATTAAAGTTGTGAACGAAATCAGCGTTGACCAGTTCACTATGGGGTAAATGACCACAAAAGTGTTCAAATTAGAAAAATATTATGTTATATCAATCCATTTACAAAATCTCAAGCTGTTATGAGATATATTTAAAATGTTAATGCTTAACAGTTCATGTTAGCATAACAGCTGTAAAGTCTGCATTTGCTTTCGAAACCCGTGCTAAATTTATATTTGTTTGTCTGTCAACTTTGATATTCAATTATTTGCGGTGCGGGGGAGTGGTGGATCTATCAAACACATAAGCAGATGCCACGCCCACTTTTCTATGATATAGGTATCCCTCATACTAAAATAATACCAAAAACCAAAAGAGTCGCGCCAGCACTTAGGATTTCTAGAGAAGTGGGAGGAAGAAGGAGCCGGGAGCAGATGAAGAGCCGATTAATAGCCCTTCTTGACTTCATCCTGAAAGTCCAACGTCCAACAGTATAGATTAAATACACACAGAGTTTTCGTATAGGTACTTGTGCTCAGGTTGCCTTTAAAAAAATTCAGATACTAAGTGTTCCAATTACTGAGATAAGTTATAATACTGATTGTTACAATTAAAGACAACGTGTTCGAGCGTAAGCTCTGTAACGAATAGCCATAATGAGAAAGCGAATACAGAAAGAGCACGCTCGCTTTCTACAGGTTTATTATATCCAAGCGGCACATCACAAAAACAGCCGTGAAGTATCCAATGCCCATCCTCCTACCCCTACAACACAACCAACGATATGCTTTTAAATGGCCTCGTTGAAAACGGTGATTTCGACACTAACGACGACAACAACTGCAGTTTCTGTTTCTTCAGCTTTTACTGACAAGCTAGCCCCTACCTAACCGAGAAATACAAAAAATGTTAGCGGATAATTAATTCAAACAGGAATCGATCAATATGTGAAAATAAAAAGAACTTTAAGCCCACGAGCAGATCGAGTGCCGCGACTATAAGATACCCGTTACTGTTTTACACAATTTTAAAATATTTATTTTGCTTGTGGAAATTCACAAGTCGCCACCTATTGTCAGAAGCATGTTGAGTAACTGATAGTGACGTCACACACCATGTGAGGACTTACAACCTAAAGTTCTTCATAAGTAGCGAAATAATGTTCCGATTAAAAAAATCTTTGATAAATCTATAGATATTAACAAAAACAAATTATACAAGGTCAAACGAGGCCATTCATAATAATATTGTAGACCCCACAGTTTTCCGCGGCTTGTGGGCGTTAGATTGAGCGTGGCAAAATGAAAACTAAAGAAAAGTTGCAGTGACATATCTAAAATAGGTATTCTTAAGCACAACTTTCTAGCTCTTATAGTTCCCGCGATTTTTGGTTTTTGGGTTTTGTGGGCGTAGCTTGATCGGATAATAACAATTCACATTGGGAGCGTCATAAAAACCTACATTTTCTTTTCTAGAAAATGCGAAATCTTTTGAGCTTGGTGGGCGTATGGGTGGGTGTGGCCGTATAATAGTACCACTATAAGATGCGCTTGCATCTAAAGATTATACATACTAAATTTCAACTTTCTAGCTCTCTACTCTACGAGTAACGGGTATAAAAACGTCGAGAAGAGGGCCGGAACCGCCATTATCGCCGCCGTTGTCCCCCTGCTATGCCCCGCCCGAACCATCTCGGGCTCTCGTCACTCAACACAGCATTGGAGGCTCTCTGCGACCAGAAACGGATACCGCCCCCGTCGTCCCTAAGGTCCGTCATGGCGACGGCCAGGGTGAAGGAGGCGTTTTTGAAGGAATTTATGGCATAAAAGCTGTCGACCGAACAGGCCTGCGCCATGATGAGGTGCCTATGGGGCTTCGAGGGGCTGGTGTTAGCGCTTTCGACCAGCAGCGAATGCAGCCCAATCGTCTCTGAGGTCCGCCTTGGCGTCGGCTGTGGTCTCGTGACGAAGCGTCGTGATGCCATCATCCGCGCCCCCTAATCAGGCGAAATCAAGAAGGTCGTTGCGAACAAGAAGTTCGGCGAGATTGGCCTGGAGGTTAAGCCGAACGCTGCACAGCGACCCAAGCTTGTCGTCCAAGACGTGGCTTCGCAGATCGCTCCTGATGAATTCATGGAAGAACTATATGCCAATAACCTGAAAGAGCACATGTCGAATGCGGAGTTCCGCAAAGACGGAGTCACTATAAACGTGACTCGTGAATGTGAGCCGAAGGTGATGGATCTGTTGGAAGGTGGGAGAATCTACGTAAAGTGGTTCTCCTACCAGTGCAGGGCCCTTGTGCGAACATACGCGTGTCACAGGTGCCTTGGTTTTGACCATAAGGTGGCCAATTGCAGGATGAGTGAAAAGGACAAGGTCTGCCGACAGTGCGGGCAGGCTGGCCATAATGCACGTGGCTGCACAAATCCGGTGGACTGCCCAGTGGCCGGATTGGCCAAAGTAGAGGCAAACAATCAAAAAATAAATCTTGATCTACAGAAAATCGATTTTAGTATAATGCTGGAATACAGACATAAAATCATATACAACTTGAAAAAAAATGTTTGGGTAACCCTGGTATTTTTGGGGAGCCCCTAAAGTCAGCTGTTGAAAATCTGCATTATTTTCGTGTTCTTTTGTCGCTGCTAAACTAGTTTATTGCATTAAAGTCCAAACCTTTTCCCGTTGCTAACAAACATTAATTTAAAACGGAAAACACCTATAAAGGTATGCAGATTTTAAAATGTATATCAATGTTTGTGTTATGTTATCTTATGTCTTCGTTTTAACGTGTTATTGTCGTGG